AAAACTTACGGATAAAAGACCTGTGCAAATAGGTGGAAACACTTCAACAGAAATTTTCACAGCTACCGTTTTCCATATTATGGCGACCAATGAGATCGCTAATCACAGTAAGGTGATAACGATATAAAAATAAAAATGTTTTTCACTTTAGTTTGACCCTTTTTTATTATTTTTTTAGTTCAGATCTGCTCTAGTCCATCTAGATTCAACATGCATCTTTAAATCATTGGTGACTGTTATTTCTAGTCTTCCTGTGATTCATTTTAATTATATTGAATCCCTTTTTAATTTAATCCTATAGTGAAATTTATTAAAATACAAAGACCAATATGATTTGGGTACATACAAAGAAGAGAATAAGACGCACTAATTAGAATGATGACGAACTGGAAACCAGTAATAAATGGACCAAGAGGAATACCAAAAATAAAATAAAAAGACCAACTAATAGAGGATATACTAAAGATGGAATAATTTCTCTGGTGAGAAGTTATCTAAAACCAGAGAGAGTGGAGAATATAATATGTACCTAAACATATATATTTTATTTTTAGTTGATGAGGTCTGCATATGTTCGGAAAGGTATTTAAAATGTAAATAAGTACTTGATCAAAAAGTTTTAAAATGATAATTTGTTTTTAACTATAAAGTGTATTCTAAATTCATTCATTTCTAGGTTGCCCAAGCAAAACTAGAGTCAGAATCAATTCTAGGTCCACAACATCAAGATTCTCTATCTCCACCACTTACGCCTCCAGTAATTACTCAATCTCTGCAGGAAACTCAACAATCGCAATCTCAAACAACAACGCAAAAAGCCGATCAAAAATTTGAACCGATTTCTGATTCTCATCGTTTACGAATTGCTACCAGAAACAAGATGGCGGAAGGATCCTGGGACGAGGATTCTGCTATTTCGCAGACTTCTAGCACGTCAGGTTACAGGTTAAATTTATTTGTTATATAATATTTTGGCCATTTTAAATATTAAACAAGAAATCAAATTAAGTAGTAAACAGTGACAAAAAAGGCTAAAGCTGTGCATTGTTGTTGCACAAGTTAACAATAAATTAAGAAGGTTTCTTAAACTCCCTACTATTAATTTTGTATTTATTAATGTAACAGTTTTAAGCACCATGAAGTGCCTGTTTTATAACCTTAAAAGCATTAAGAAATATTAAGTTTTTATATTCAAAATAAGATAATAAATTAGTTTTCAACAAATTCATAAAACCTAGATTTACTTTACGCTCTGCATAGGCCTACTTTTCCAGGGAATCCTACCCAGTGATGCACCTCAAAGAAACTCTGGAATCGTCACCTAAAGCGTTCCCTCCACTTGCGTCACCGGACATCCACAGTTTGCCCTCCACGAGTAGCGCAACCACAACGAATAATTTTCTCTTGATGGATAATTCTTCTCCGGACTGCAGCCTCAACGAAAATGGAGAAAAGACAGCTCTGCTAGGTCCTAGCGAGAAGTCGTCTTCGCATCAGTCGCTATTGATGGTGTTTGATGGTCAAGACGAGAACACCCTTATTTAACAAACTACGTAAATAATTGTTCTTCAAAGTATTATTAATTGTTTAGCAGATTTTTAGTATATGTATATTATAACAATAAATAATATGTAATAGTATGTAGTTGTTTAATTTACTGAAGCAAACCTTCTATACTGTCGTTGTATTACTCTTCTCTAATGTAATGTAAAATTACTTTATTTATTACAAAAATAAAGAGAAACATAGTATGTAGCTTCGCGATATTCTACTTTACCGTCTACTGTATAGAAGAGTAAAGTTACTTTAAACAATTTTGGTCTTAATGAAGACATGACTTATCTTACAAAACAAAATAATTACATTATTGTCAACAATGCATAACAAAGACGAGATTGATCCAGAAAGTGGCGATGCATATAATATAACAATGAATACATATTAAAAGGCAACAATGCAAAGGGAAATGTTGATACCATTAATGAGCTAAAAATAACTTACTCTGTGTCACAAAAATTTGCCGATGGCCTCTAACATTATTTTCGACTTTCTTGTATAAGTCTGGAATAAATAGCCATATCATTGCTGACAAAAATAACAATACGCAAAGTACTCACGAAAACTTTTTGAAATCATTAGCAATGAGTCTCATTACTCTAAATGCTTATATTACCAGTAACTATGAGAAGTCGTATAAAAGAAATATTGGACATACCCGAGTATCTACGCAACATAGTCAGTATGACGTTTTATAAGAGATAGTGTGTCTTGGGGATTTGATGTTTGGAGTCCAAAATGGAAATGGTTTCATCGATAGGAATATTGGTGAACAAAGAAACAATGTCAAAACTAACTAGTATATCTGAGGGAGAAATAGAAACATTTTTCAGAAGGTCAATAAAATGAAAAATTGACATTGTTTCTTTGTTCACCAATATTCCTATGGATGAAACCATTTCCATCTTGGACTCCAAACATTAAATCCCCCAAGACACACTATCTCTTTCAAAAACATTCAAAAATATCTAAACCCCATTCCATCCAAAAAAGAAACCTTGCCGCCGGATCAAGCCAAAATCTTCCTACCTTTTATTAAAAGTGTCACTGACACCTTTGACTCCTGAGTAGAACTCTTTTTCCTCTAAACATCAAAACCATCTTCACTACTCACTTCAAGTTGTCCAATCTCGTCAGATCCGTAAAAGACCAAATGCTAATGAAGACATTGGTGTCTACGAGAAACCTTGTTCCAGTTGCCCACGTACATACATCGGACAGACAAACCGACGAATCTATAACCGTATTTACGAACATTCTATATCAGTCAAACATTCCGATACTACTTCAGCCCTAGCCTAACATCACATTCAAACAAACCACAAAATAGACCTCGAAAAATCAAAAACCATCGCGTCAATCCGCTCCTTAAAATCAAGAATCATTCGTGAAGCCATCGAAATCGAAAAACGGCCTAACAGCTTAAATACGCGCGACGACGCAAAACGATTACCGCCAACATGGCGACCCCTACTTCAGCGACCTCCCGCCCACACCGTTCAGGCCACGTCAGTTCAGACCACGTCAGCCCATACCGTTCTCCCCGCGCGTACTAGCGTCACAGGGTAAGACCGGTTGTCACTACTCGACACTGAGGAGTAGGCAGATTGAGACCTCAGTGCCGAGAGACAGTTCATGGCATGTTATCTTTAATGGCAATGACGGTTCATTCTCTTTAATTCATCGCAACAACAACACAACGCCATTTTATTTTGTCTATTATGACTCGGTGTTTGTTTACGTCTTTGGATTTATATTATTTGATTGTGTTTTTTTTACTCACAGTTTGGCTTTATAGTTTATAGCAAAGACTTTTACTTTAAAGTAAAAATTCAGTTTATCTGAAAATTTTTTAATAAATCTTTAAAATGGTGTTTAAATGCTGTGTACCCGGCTGCAAAAATTACCAAAAAGATGCTCAAATGCATATTTTTCCGAAAAATCAAGAGGTAAGTCATAATTAATATTTATTTTAATATTAAAATGAAAAATAGTTGTTATTTTGATTTGCCATTAATATTTTAATAACGATTAACAAACAAGATATTCGTAAGTATGTATCTCTAACCTTAAAATGTTTTAACCTTGCTTGTGTTAGAACAAATGTAAAAATATCCAGAAACTGAAGTATTTACAGATGATACAACAAAAAAAGGAAAGAAGTAATAGATAATATGATTTACATTGCTATTATTGTTATAGACTTTAAATATATTTTTTTATACTATATCTATTAGACACTAATTCTTGTATGTTTTTTGTAGCTGTATAATGTTTGGATTAAAAGGATTGGCCATCCCAATTTACAAGAAATGCCAAAGGTACGAAAATCATACCGTGTATGTAATGTCCATTTTGGGCCAGATGCACAATACATTGGACTAATAAATAAATCCACTATTAAAAAAGATGCTATTCCATCTTTATTTTTACCACCAAGTATGTTTACGTTTTTAAAATAATTTTGTTACTTGTAAATTGTGTCGTTAATTTTTTAAATAAACATTTTAATTTTTGAATTTTGTTTTCTTCCTTTCCTTTCCTATTATGTGCAGTCTGTTCATAATTGCAATAAAAGATTCCACAATGTAATGCAAATTACAAAAAATAATCGTTAATGTTAATGTAAGAAACAATTGTCGATTATTTTTTATAATTTGCATTATGTTGTAGAATCTTGTTTTACTACAATAATTAGCAACAAAGCTTATTCGAACGTTTAAAATTCCCGCCGCGTCATTACCCATTTAGTTCATGACTAAACCAGGCAGAGGGCGCTGTATACATTGCAATTTTTGGTATTAAAGAGTTGCCTATCTATCTCTACTTATATTTATTTAATCTATGAGACAGTTCTTGTATTTATAATACAGAACACGATACTGGTGCGTTTCGAGTGAGGGGAGTAGGCAGATTGAGACCCCGAACTCGAACCGAACCGTATCCCTCTTGATAATGGCTCCAAAATGGGAGCCGAAACGTCGAGCATTAAATTCTCAACGCGGTTCTTCCCAAGAACCTAGTGATTTATATATATATATATATATATATATATATATATATATATATATATATATATATATATATAAATCACTTTGCTTTTTTTTGTTCTTTTTCGACGAGCAAAAAGCAAAAGATGTCATTTCGCTCGAAAAATAAAAGAAAAACGAAGACCCTATACAGTGTCAAAAGTATCTATGCCGAAAATTTAAAATAAAAGATTTTTGGTTTATATTTAAGTTCTACTTGTTTTTTTTTATCAAGTTTTTTGGTGTGTGTAATGCCGGAGAAAACTGACTGCTGAATCCGCCTGAATGCTGCTGAATGATAGAAAAATCTATCATTTTCGCCTTTAAAGACAAAAAGTTATACTCCTACCTTCCAATAAATGATTTTTTAGCTAAGACTATTACATTTTTAAATTTGTAAATGAATTAAGAATAAAAAATAAATTTATCTTTATTAATAAACTAATTATAATATTGTGCTGCCTCTGTATAATACTAATTCGCTTTAATCACAATATTACGAACTAACTAATGATTTTGTCCACTTTGACGCAATTTTTCTATTAATTTGTTGATGGGTAACTTTGAAATATCATCAAAATCTCTGGGAAATTCTTCTTTAAGATCAGCAACGACATACGCTACAGATGCCCAGACAGCTGTAGCCTTATCTAATGTGTCTGAGTCCAAAATATCCAAACTGTCGGCGACTGAGTGATGGTACCAGAAATATTTCTGGTTCTCGTTTAATAGACCAGCTATAGGTATCTTCTTAGCCCACATCGCTATGTCGGATCCTACTGATTCGCTGTATTGGGTCTGTGTTGCATTGATCGGTTCCAGTAATCTAAAATGTGTTTATGTTCCTTGAAATTCTTAAAAGAAAATGCGTGATATTTACTTACCCAACGATTTCCTTTAATATACATCCACCTTTTTTGCCGGTTGTATATTCTATTCCCAGAGGATTGAAAGTACCTTCGTCAGATTCCATTACAAAAGTAAAATCGTCCAGATCATTCTTGTGCGCTTTGTCGTATGCTTGGGCTCCTATAAAACCAGGTTCCTCGGCAGTCCACAGAATAACTCTAAAAAAAGATAATTTTATACAGCTATAGTTTTAATTAAGCTTGATTTGTATATTATGGTCCAACAAAGAAGAAAGTGATTGATGAGTTAAAACAAAATTATTTTGACAGAATGACGAAGCATATGACGTGATAGTCAGCTATAATATTTCTTATTAGATTGATTTCTTAATATAATCGACGTGTGGTCTACTTAAATGCCAACTTAGAACAATATTCATAGGTCTTAGACAGTTGTATTATGTCATTATGCATTTTGCATATATAAAAAATTTATTTTATTGGTAAAATTTCTGTTAATTTACATACTCACCTTAGAGTTCTCCTTGCTCTTAAACCGAGGGATTTTAGAAGAACCATTGAATACCAAGAAATGAATGATCCACCACCATCATCCATTGCACCAACTCCAACATCCCAACTATCCAAATGACCGGATACAACAACGATTTTTTGCTCTTTTTCTGATCCTTTAATTTCTGCCACTAAGTTTCTTGAGGTTTCATCAGGCAGATGTTGCGAGTCTACTTGTAGTTTTATTACAATTTTTTTACCTTTATCCTAGAATTAAAATAATTTTTTACTTATTAGAAAACAGAATCAATTAATAAATTTTATCTTAGACGCTTGATAAAAGAATTTTATTCTGTGGGGTTTTCGCATCCGCTGGTCACGATATTATTACACTTGGTGTTTGCAAAACGCTGTAGTCGCTGCACAAATCTCACCATACGATGATGATGAGCTAGTTGTCAGGTGATTTGTCGATTCAAAGACCTGGTTTCAGTCGAGACAAAATTACAACAGCTGTGATGATTGCTTTGTCGTTTCTAGTGCTTTGAGAAACCGAACGGCACGGCAGTTTTCATTCATAATCGTCTACAAGAAGTGGGTTATGCAAACGTAAGTAAATGGACAGTTAAAAGGCAATTTTATGCTGCTAGTTTACCTTCTCGAACTAGGGTAACTAGGCCTCTGCTTTTTCGCAGAATGCATTACAAAATCTGATCCAAAACATGCCTCGACCTTTGAAAGATGTTTATGACTACCAGAACATAAAGCACATCAAATTAAAATGATCTTTTTTTAATATTTAGTACATCAAAGGAAAAACTGTCCATTTTCGTAACTTTTCCATCCACACCTGAATGTAGGTCTCTCCCAATTGCTTCCATCTTTCTCTATCTTGCGCCAATCTAATCCACTGTTTGCCTGCCACTGCTCTTATGTCATCTACACATCTTTTTTGAGGTCTTCCTATGCTTCTTGTTGTCGTTCTTGGTCTTCATTCTAGAATTCTCCGTGTTCACCTGTTGTCATTATATCGTGCTACGTAGCCTGCCCAGCGCCATTTCATTTTTGTAATTTCTTCCATAATATCCCTAATATTCTACGTCTTATTTCGGTGTTTCTAATCTTGTCTCCCAGTGATATTCCAAGCATGATTCGTTCCATTTGCTCTTTGCGTTGTTCACCAGTCGTACCAGTCGAACAGGCCGGATTTAGAAGCGGGCGTAGCTGTAGTGAACAAGTACTGTCCTTAACGACATTTATTGAAGCCGGTTTCAAAAACGGGAAAAAACAGCCGTAACGTTTATAGATCTGACGGCTGCATATGACACTGTGTGGAGAGAAGGCCTGATCTACAATCTGATGAAGGTCATACCATGCCTGAAAACCTGCCAACTAATCAATAACCTCCTAACCAACAGACTGTTTTCAAGTATATATAAACGATACAAAGAGCAATGTCAGAAAGCTAAATAATGGCCTCCCACAGGGTTCAGTGCTTGCTCCACTATTATTTAACATTTACACAGCCGACCTTCCAGAGACAAAATCAAAAAAATTTGCTTACGCAGATGACCTGGCTATCGCATTTCAAAACCAAGCCAAAGATGTTGGAGAAAGGGGCGCTTACCGAAGACTTAAGGGTTCTCTGCGACTACTTTAAACAATGGCGACTTCGCCCTAATACAAACAAAACTGAGACAAGCCTCTTCCATCTCACAAATCAGCTTTCGAATGACACCCTTAGCATCACCTTCAATGGCGAGACTTTGAAAGATAATACCAACCCTAAATACCTGGGTGTAACGCTCGACAGATCACTGACGTTCAAAACCCATCTTACGAATGTAGCTGCCAAAGTGAGAACCCGTAACAACATAATAACAAAGCTTGCTGGAACGACATGGGGTGCCACTGCGGATACACTTCGAACCTCCTCACTGGCTCTGGTGTATTCTGTTGCTGAATACTGCGCACCGGTATGGCTAAATAGCGCTCATGTCAACAAGATTGATGTTCAACTAAATTACACTATGAGAGTAATATCTGGTACTATTAAATCAACTCCACTAAGATGGTTTCCAATTCTGAGCAATATAGCACCTCCCAGATATTCGACGAACGGCAGCACTTGTCAGAGAATATCAGAAAATCATGGCAAATAATCGTCTGCCAATTCACCAGTATATTCCGCACGCCGCCGACGAGATCAACAAACACTGAAGTCCAGACGACCCCCTGTCCAATCCGTTCAGGGAATGGGTGATAACTACAATAAGCAAGAGCAGTGGACGAAAAGATGGATGCCAACAACAGAGCCAGACGTCATCAAAATAACAAGTACGTCGATCGGCTTCACTGGATCAAACCTGCTAAGCCATATATGGACAAAATTAAATCGCATACGCACGGGTCATGGCAAATGTGCCGATTCTCTATACCGATGGGGTCATGCAGAAAGCCCACAATGTGATTGTGGATCCCCGAGACAGACCATCCAACACATCATGGCGGATTGCCCAATCCGCAGATACAGCGGAGACCTTCAAGATTTTGCAGAGTGTTCTCCTGGTGCAATTGAATGGCTGTGCAATTTGGACATTAATATTTAATATTTAATTTAGGTTACAATTCCAATTTGAACATAATTATTATCTAAATACTACTTTTATCGTATTGTAATTATCCATACGCTAGATAAAATTTGAGTTGTTTCTAATTTTTTGGCAGATTTTTTGGTTAGGGCTACTGTCTCCAAGCCGTATGTACAAACTGGTAGTATGCATGTGTTACACCTTTTTTTTAAGTTTACAGGAATGGAGGTGTTTTTCAAGATATATGCTAGTTTGCCTCGTGCCAATTGTGTCCTTTTCTTGTTGTTTCATTTATTTTTGATACCTTTATTTGATACCTATATTAAAATAGATTTCATTGATTTTGTTATTTTTTCCAAAAGGCTGTTACACCAATAAAGAATAAGAAAAGCCAAAAATTCGTAGGATTTTTTATTAAAAAAAATATGCAATGTTTAAATTTATGTGTTCAATTAAGAAATATTTTTAATACCAGGCATTTTTTATTAACAAGTCGATGAAGCATCAATTTGAATAATTTATTATAATTAAAAAAAAAGCACATTACAACTGAGTCATAAAAAATGCCAGACAAAGCGATTAACCACATTTTTCCGATGAAGGTAGACAGCAAGACATATAAATCAGTAGCGGGTACTAGAGGGGGACTTGAAAATATTAGCAATAATCAAAATTTTTTGTCTATTTTGCCTTTTTGAGATGTTTTTTTTTGCATATTTTGCCTTTTTTAGTAAATTCGATTAATTTGTGTCTTTTTTTTTCAATTGTAATACCCATGTTATTATTCATAATACTGTTACTAATAAACCTATAATAAAAGTTTGAGTCATTAATAAAATATGAATCGTTTGTTGATAATAGATTTATAGGGTACGTGATCGAGACTTGAAGCTTAACTTTTGGGAAATCTTTAACCACTTTCCTTAGATTATATCTGCGCAGCGTTAAAAAGTAACCTCCAAAAATATTGAAATTTTTCATATGTCAAATGGGTTCAAATCTGGGCTTTGAGCCGGCCAATTCATTTTTTGGCACACCGACGTTTTCTAGGTATTGCGTTACCATCCTGGCTACGTGTAGCAAAAGTCACTGCATGCTCGTGCAGAATTTCGGTAATGTATCGGTGAGCATACACCGTTGCTCTATTGATAAACACGAGATCAGTACGGCCGTCGAATGAAATACCTGTCAAAAGCAGCATATCGTTCCCCACTGTCTTCTTTTTGTGAGACCGTCTGAACCATAAAGAACATCCTGGACTCATCACTAAATAGCTCTTGGTTTCTAGCATACTTAAGTCAACTGTTGCTGATCAACGACCCATTAGACAAAACTTCCTTAAATTTCTTTTCACTGTAGAAGTACTTAATGTCCACCCGTGAGCATTTTGAAAATGTTTTGGACTGCTCTAGCCATAAAGAACCGATTTTGCAAAAAAGTGTGTTGTAAAGAATGGTGTTCTCTCTCCGTCGTGATTCTCGCGTCTGATCCTGGTCGTCGTTGGTGAGATCCAGTTTCTAAAAATCGTTGGTATTTTTTTTGACCATAAAACGACTGACTCCAAACTGTCTGGCCACTTCTCTTTGACTCCATTCCATTCCATTATTATTCAAAGCAACAAGCAAATCTCTCACACATAGTTTTCAGATTTTAGATTTTAAGTATTAAAAAGTGCTTTATTGACCAGCATTGTGGAACTCCACTTCATACACATATTTTGGAAGAATTAAATTCAGCCAAGTTAGTCGAAATATCTCTGCAGGATTATTTAAGCAGTATAAAAAGGAGAAAGGCACATTTAAATTTGATTTATGTCAGATGATGGTCACATCCAACCCCTGTATAAAGGTAATCACCCTAGTTTTAAGCGCTCTTTTGAAAAACATTTCAATAAATCCTTTCTGGAGAAATGTACATTGATAAAACAAACTATGAACAAATGCTGTGTGGAATGTACTTCAAAAATTAAGCGTGAGTTAAAGGGTAATTTTAAGGAAAACTTGGTCAGAAAACCTTGGTTAGTTTCCGGTAAGGAATTTAAAAAAAACAAACAAGTTTAGTCTTCCCAACAGATAATCTACGTTAGACTTATGTCCAGACAGATGCTTTGTTCGGCTTGAATGTGCTGGCTCAGAGATGCATGGACATGAATCAGGATATGTACTTATGTTTTGTAGACTTTGAAAAGGCATTTGATAAAGTTCAACATAAAAGCTTGTAGATATATTAAAAAGCAAAAATATTGACAGTCGTGATCTGAAAATTATATCTAATTTATATTGGAATCAAACTGCCAAGGTAAGAGTTGATAGCCAGTACACCGAAAATATCAAAATACAGAGAGGAGTCCGCCAGGGTTGCGTGCTGTCCCCACTACTTTTCAATGTCTACAGTGAAGCGGTATTTCAAGAAGCGCTCTCAGACTCAATAGAAGGTATATCTATCAATGGAGAAGTTTTGAATAACTTACGTTTTGCAGACGATACAGTAATAATTACGGATAACAACAATGATTTACAGAACCTAATGCAACGCCGTAATGAACGCTGTCATGAGTACGGACTGAAGATAAATTTAAAGAAAACTAAATGCATGATCATGACTAAATCTGCACATGCAAATATCCAATTGACTATTGAAGATACTGCAATTGAGAATGTTAATAACTATAAATATTTAGGAATATGGATAACATCAGATGTAGACCAAACCAAAGAAATTAAGACACGTATTGAAATAGCACGTACATCATTTATTAAACTTAAAAAGTTTCTTTGTTGTCGGGATATAAGGTTAGAACTACGCCTGAGAATGCTTCGATGTTACGTGTTCTCTACTCTTCTTTATGGTCTGGAAGCTTGGACACTAAAACAAGTTCATCTGAATAAGCTGGCCGCCTTTGAATTTTGGTGTTACAGAAGAATCCTACGAATATCATGGATTCAAAGAATGTCAAACATGGAAGTAACTAGAAGGATAGGAAATGAGGCGGAAATAATATTAACTATTAAAAGACGAAAACTTGACTACTTGGGACATGTGATGAGAGGGCAAAAATACGCATTATTACAACTTATTATGCAGGGCAAAATCCGAGGAAAGCGAAATGTGGGAAGACGAAGAATATCATGGCTTAAGAACTTAAGGGAATGGTTTGAATGCAGTAGTGCAGAACTTTTTAGAGCGGCAGTCAACAGAGTCCGCATAGCCATGATGATTTTCAACCTTCCATAGAAAATGGAACTTAAAGAAGAAGACTTATGTCAACAATCACACCTAAATATGCACCCCATGCTGTAATTATGCTTTTATATTATTCAGAAAATTAAAATGGGTTCTTTATATCGGTATTAATGTAAATATCGTCCACACGTTGAAGAATTTTAAAAGAAGATCAATAATTTGGAGGTTTTGGTGAGCAGACGAGCACAATGAGAAATCCTTTTATCTGTAAATTTCGGTAAACATATCTGACCAGAAACACCTTCTTAAAAATGCGACAGTTATTCACTACCCGTAATCTTGATTTGTCCCTACGATACCGCATGATAAAGTGTTATGTAAATAGTGTACTCGTTACGACGTTTAGAGGGCTTTGAGATGTGGGTATTTCGTTGTATGCTGAAAATTACATGGACCGAAGAAGTTTTAAGGCGTATGAATAGAGAACGTGAATTCACAGAAATTGTCAAGAAGCGTAAAAGTCTTATCTTGGACACACATTTAGACACGACAGGTATAACTTCCTTCAGCTTATTATAGAAGGGAAAATAGAAGGCAGACGCGGCCCGGGTAGACGACAAATGACCTGGCTGCGCAACATCAAATATTGGACGGGATAAGACTTTCAAAGTTTATAATAAGGAAAGCCCAAAATAGGGAAGACATTGCAGAAGTTATCACAAACCTTCGCTAAGAAGACGGCACCCAAAGAAGAAGAAGATATCTGACCATAAGCACTTTTAATGTGTTTAAGACATTGTTGTTGGAGTAATTATTTGTATGTAGGTTTTAAATCCTCTTTTATGTCAAACTGGTTATATATAATAAAATTTTGATTAGGCATCTACCATTATAGTCTGCATTTGATAAACAATCTAGGTTTTTACTAAAATACGATCTATAGGATTGAGCAAGATTAGAATCTTGACCTGACTTCTACGAGAGCTTCTTTAAATGCATCACTAAGAATAAATAATTTCAATAGACTTTAATATATAATAACTGATTATTAAAAACTGTTAATACCTGATATCTTTGTAGCATGTTTGCATCCTCAACTGTTATCGAAAGAGCCGGAATTTTTTTGACATCTTTTCTGTACTTGAGGTATCCTGTATGAAGCGTATACATGGAAAAAGGTGTTACGGATTTTATAAGTACCGCTAAAGCTCCATGTTTGGCAGCTTCGACAGGTCCTTGGCTCCTGTATTTGACAGATCTTCCGTAACGTTCAAAGTTGAAGTTGATGACAACTATTTTACCTAAAAAGGCAAATAAAAGTTCATCTAAATGATTCATCTTTGGTTTTTAACAACAAATAACAGAAAACTTACTTAAAACTCTTACCTTTAGCTGCTGCTGAAACTTCTGGTTTGTTTAACTCCTCAAATGAACGAACGACTAGGACTTCTGCTGTAATTCCTTCGGGAGGAGTATTAGCTGTTTGTCCAAGCCAAGCACGCCAATTTTTGATCTTCGAGGCTCGAGCACTTCGGCAATTTCTGTGCCCCTGGAAATATTTATTAATAATGAAGGCAAAAATATAGCAAGTACAATGAAGATGATGGTGTGCAACAACTCAATTATAGAAATATATAACTAATTGTAATAAGAAGAGGTGTTGAGCAGTGTAAAATAACCATGGTCTAGTTGTTTTTCTTCCTGTCGTTAAATTTCAAAGAATTCCGATATTAATATTATATATTATGTACAATTACAGTATCACTTCCATATTTATCTATAATACTTTTATCGGTATGGAAATGTCAAGACGAGGTTATCGATTTCTTGAAAATTCTACAATTGCCCACGTGGATGAAATATTAGAAAATACTTAAAATATGATTAAATGTAGCACTAATAGATAATTGTCTTATTCTAATATCATTATACGCTTGTGAAACCATGTTAAAGTAATAGGTGTAATATTATTTCTATACTTACTTAATTACTTAATATCCTATGTACATTATGTAAAAAATTGTTCCTATAGATCTGCCTTACCGAAACAAAATTTGGAATTGGTCTATAATATTTTCTGCATGGTAAAAAAAAGTTGGATTTTTACCAACCTCGGAAACAAGCCGGTTTCCGCCCTAATTACGGCACAAACGATCACCTCCAGTGCCTAAAAACACTGATAGAAAAAAACTAACGAATATAATCGTCCCTTGGCATTGATATTTGTAGACTTTAAAAAGGCGTTTGATACAGTGGAACTACCGTCCATCTTAAGACCACTACAAGATTGCAAAGTCGACCACAGATATTGTAATATAGTTAAAAATATATACGAAAATGCGACAACAACCATAAGTCTATATTCTGCAAATAATAAAATAAAGATAAAAAGGGAGAATCAGACAAGGTGATACCATGTCACCAAAGCTGTTCATTACCATTCTTGAGTATGCATTTAAAAGACTAACATGGCAACAGAAAGGAATATCCATCGATGGAGAAAGATTAAACCATCTACGTTTTGCGGACGATATCGTGCTTCTGTCAGATAATTTGGGAGAGATCAAAGACATGCTCCAAGAACTGAATGACATACTACAAGAAACTGGGCTGGAGATAATTTTCGAGAAAACCAAAATGATGACCAATATGGTTCCCAGCGAAGATATACAGATCAATAACAACAAGGTCGAATTAATCGATAAATACACATACTTGGGTCATGAAATTAGAAAAACCAGACAACCAAACCTGCGAGCTAAATAGACGAATCACGTTGGGATGGGCGGCATATGGAAGGATGAGAGACATTTTTAAAACAAATATCCCAATTCACCTAAAAAGGAAGGCATTTAACCAATGCATCTTACCAGTCTTGACCTACGGAGCAGATACCCTAACTTTAACGAAAGCTAATGGATGTGAAAATGGGGCTGGATGATGATGATGATTTTCTGCATGTTCCAATAAACACAGATTGTTTTATATAACTAGTCTGTATGAGTTGTTAAGATTCTTTTTAACAAATGTCCATCCAACTTCCTTGATTTCGTTTTTTATATATCTTTTCTCTCTGTTCCTGCGCACCTAATCTTTTCATCTTTCTTTTTTTTATCTTTGCAGTGGCTCCATTATTTTGACTTTCTATATTTTTCATTGTTCTACTTCGTTACCACTTTATGGATCTATCTTCATCTATAATATATATTATCCCTCTTCATATATCCTCAACCATCTTTTAAATTCTTATTTGATGCTATTTTTTCATACTTTTTATGTAGGCGTCCAAGAAAAAATTGTGAAAAAACCAAAAAAATAATGTAATCCATCTTCATCTTTTTTCCTTTTTATTTAGTTAAGGATTTAGATTTAGTTAAGAGTAAGAAGAATAGGAATGTTAAGGAGAGAGACATCGATAAAAAAGAACAGTCTAGGTTTACGCCAAAGAGGATTACAATAGATGCCTTGTTTACTTTGAGAGATTTGGTAGAGAAATGGCGAGAAGGAGAGCTACATTTAGTATGTATAGATCTTGAAAAGACGTACGACACAGTCCTTAGACAAGAGCTATGTGTGAGGAAAATGGGTTCCTGAGAAGAACGTTAGACTCGTGAAGGTTAAAGAAGTTTACACCCAAGTGAGTACCTGTGTCAGATTGACCGACAGTTTTTCAGTGTTGGTTTGTATAAAGCTCTTCACTGAGTCCCTAGCTGTTTTATCTTCTTCTTCTTTTTCTTCTGGCATCATAACCCTGGATGGGTCTTTGCCTGTCTGGCTATGCCCTTCCATTCAGATCTCTCTTCTGCCCTTCTTCTCCATTGTCTTATGTTCATTGTTTTCAGGTCGTCTTCCACGTCATCCAACCATCTCCTTCTGGGCCTTCCTTTTTTTCGCCTTCCTATGGGCTTCCATTGTAACATTTTTTTTTGTTGTTTTTGCATCATTTTGTCTCTGCACATGTCCCAGCCATGACAGTCTTTGACTTTTCACAAATCTTACAATGTCATAACCTTCATTTAACTCATTAACCTCGTCGTTTCTCCTGATTCTCCATGTGCCATCTTCCTCTTGTACCGGGCCATATACTTTCCTCAGTATTTTTCTCTCAAATGTCCTGAGTTGGGCTTCATCTTTTTTCGTCATTACCCAAGTTTCACATCCAGAGGTTACTACGGGTCTAATCAGTGTTCTGTAGATAGTTATTTTGGTTCTCTTGGTATAGAGAAAAACAGAGGAGAAGGTGAAAGGAAGTAGCAGAAGTGGCAGAATACGTGAAGGAGAAAGGCTTAGGTGAAGAAGACCAGATGGATAGAAATAAGTGAAAGAAACAGCGATTTCTAAAAATGGAAAATATGAGGAAAAAAGTGAAAAATAAGAATTATATAAAGTTGAGAGTAGAAGAAAGCCAGATCATCTAGAAAATATGAGTAAACAAAAAATATTGTAGATAGAAATGTCAATAAAAATATAAAAATAAAGACCAAAGAAGCAAAAAAGATGTGACAGAAAAACTGAAGAATCATAGAAAAAAATGAGGAAACCCTACTAACCTATCTAAAAGTCCTGTGTCAGCTATTTATATGTAACAAAAGTATAGAAAACACGTGTTCATAAGTTATAAAATAAAACTAAATATAATTTAGTTTGCAAATATAAAAACTGAGTTGCGTCATCATATTTAAAACGAAATAACTTACCTAACCTAATAGAAATAATGTAAAGAATCAATCTTACCTAACCCAATGTGGAACTGAAACATTTTCGCCGTGTATATTCTCTAAGCCAGCTTGCACCAACAAATTCTGAACATAATCAATAGAATTTTCTAAATTCTTGGTGCCTGATACCCTAGCGCCAAAAGTGTCGATAAAATCCGATAGATGGTTATATACCTTTCCCTTGTGCTTTCCTTTAGTTACGGCATCTATAATCCTATTCACCGTAGGTTTATAAGATTGAATTTCTTTGATCAGTTTCTGCGATAAGTGACACTCGTCTTCCACTTTGTTATTAACATTATCACAGTTGGACGCAACAATTACGACAAGTACTAATACGGATCGGACAAGCATCGTGTTGAATGGATAGTCCAGAACTATTTTATGATCAGAATTTCCAAGCTCTGATTTACTTTATTTATTGTTTAAAGATAACCTCTGAATTAATTAGTTTATTAGTTATGTGTCTTGTTAGTTGAAAACAGAGTCGTAGTATAAGAATTTTCAATGGGGTAATTTAAAATTGGATTATATAATTCTCATAACTGATATTAAAACTTATATCAATAACAATCAAGAGTAGGGGAAGGTGGGGTAGATTTGTGCATTATTTTTCAGTAGGGGATATTTTCAAGATATTTTAATAATTTACAAACATTTGTATTTTGAGAACGATTTCCGAAGTGGAAATTGAAACGTCAATAAACGTACTTTAACCTTTAATTGTAGCTTTTTTTTAGATATTTAAGATTTCTTTGTTTAATTATGTTTACGATTTCTTTTTTTTCTTTCCGATTCTTTGGATTACCTCTGTTGGTGACGTTTTCGGTCCAGGATATACGAAGAATGGGTCGGCACACCCACATTTCAAATGCTTCTAGTTTTCTCGTGAGCTTCTCTGTTAGCGTCTAGGCCTCCACACCATATAGTAAGATCGGAAAAATGTACCATTTAACTAGACGTAGTTTTAGGGGAAGAGATAAATCCTTGCTTATGAGGAGGATAATAAAGAGAAAAATAAAAAAAAAGTTTATTGCCTTAATATAATTTACATTTCACTGTTAAGATATTTCAAACCTAAGATATATTAGCCTTCTATATTAGTGCTTCCTTTCCGACGATGGATTTTCTGTCATGGACTCCATTCTTTTTCTGTAGGTTCTTGTTTTGGGCATCGTACCTACTTTCCTGATTGGCTGTCTTTGGCAACCACCCGGCTAACCGTGACCATATGGTCGATCAGTCGTCTATGTGTCTAAGTATCTTATCCTATTCTCAGCTACCTCTCTCAGTAGTGTATACTGGAGCCTTTCTCTGAAGTTGCATTACATAACGTAGATCGGGTATAACTGGATCTTCCTAGTCTTCGTTCGTGGACTGGGCCTAAAAATATAAGGAAGTATTAGTTTCTTTGCCAGTATTTGCTTTTACCTTGATTTGTTGCGTGTTCTCCGTGAAGTTGAGTTTTCTTGTCGAGATGAACTCATAGGTAGTTCACTGAATCTTCTGATTGGCTACTGTTTCTTTCCATTGGGATTTCTACTACTGATAGATTTTTCTCCTGCGTAAACATGATGAATTAAGTCTCTTTTGGGTGTTGATCTTAATTTTCCATGTTTCCGTGAATTATGTAATTATTCCAAGGTGATTTTCTATGTTTTGGAATATCCTTCTGTCATCTTTTCCTCTTGCATAGTTTGTCGTGCCATCTGCTTAGATGGCTGTACTTATTCTTGGACTTATTGGTAAGTCTGAAACAAAAATGTCGTACAAAATGGGCTAAAGTATACTGAACAAAGATGTCTCTTCTTGGATTTCTTGAATTCTGGACATCCTTTGGTCTGCTGAAACTTAAAAAGTTCTATTAGTTAGATATGTGTCACATGTGTTAACTAAGTAATGAGGTAATTTAGCTTTGCCCATCTCGTAGTCGTCCAGACCGTGTCATATGGCTTCTCGATGTC